TTTGAAAGTATAGGTAATAATAATATATATATAGTAGTGAAGTAAATCTAATTACGTAATTTTTCCTTTTTTCAATAATTAATATGGGTCGCAGCTAAGTGATTTTAATGCCTAGATGGTTTGGCCAGTAGTGGGACAAGAATATTTAATAGGAAGTAAATGAGATTTGCTAGGAATGTAAATAATTTTTGTTTTTTTCTCTAATTTGATGAACATACTTAATAATTAGTGAGTTGTATAATAACTTTATTGAACAATTGGAGTATGAAATTGGCTAAATAAAGCTTCATCATGTGAAGTTATAACCAAGGCCTAAAATAAATGCACTAACATTATGACTAAAAAAATATTTTTCACTATTTGTATCACAAATATTTTTTTTTTTAAAATTTATTGGTATGTTTCTCCAAAAAGTAACTAGCTCAACAAAATCTCTAACTAGCTAGGTATCAACCAATTGTAGTTGCTCAACAACAAAAGAGAACACATCAACTAATTAAGACTTGAATATATGTTTAAGAGAAATTGTGAATAGACTTCAAACATTATTTATAAAAACAAATCTAATCAACATTTTTTATAATAAAAGGACACCAAGAGGTTTCAATAAAATAAAAAACATAATACAATATTGATTAGCCAAAAAGAAGTTAACTTACATTGAGTACTTAGGTAAACTTGTAACAAACTATTTTAACTAATTTTAACAACATGAATGGGATGGATAACGATTTTCCTGTTTTAGTATTCATTATCTTAGGGACAAGTAACTTTGGCCCATACCACATTTCTTGATAAAAACATAGTACTTTCGCCTCCGTTTCAATTTATTTGTCCTACTTTTTTTAAGTCTGTTTTACAAAGAACTTCTCTTTTTACATGCGACCACAAAATTAAAGGACATTTTAATACATTATGCAAATTTTTAATTTATTATCACAAGTACTAAGTCAAACAGGATAATCAAATTGAAACTGAGAATTCGATTCAATGTAATGATTTCCTATTATAAGTACTTAGTTTTGGAATCACATGAACGGTTCTAAATATTAACAAATAAATTAGTTGTGGGAAAAATAAAGAAAGTAGGAGTAGTAATTAATGATGCAATAACTATAGAGGGAAAATAAATCAAATCACATTTGAAAATGAGTGACATGTTTAAATAATTACGGATGTACGAGCATGCAGAGACGTCATAGGCCAATTAAAATTCCTAATATACTAGTATTGTCCTAGCTAGATATGTGAACGTTCCACTCCGATAAAAAATAACTTTTAGCAATAATAAATATGTAGATTACTCCCTTTGTCTCTAATTACTCGTCCATTTTTCCTTTTTTAATTGTCCCTAATTACTTGTCTATTTTGACAAATCAAGAAATGACAAAATATTTTTACCTATTATATCCTCAATTAATTACTTTGAAAAAGGTAAAACTTCTTGAAAATCTTAAGCTTTTAATTCATTCACTTCATAATTAATAAGGGTAAAATGGTAAACTCACTATGTCAATAATTGTTTTCTTAATAGATGTGTCAATTCAAAAGTTGACAAGTAATTAGGGACAGAGAGAGTAACAATAGTACTAATGCCGTTATCAGTAGTAGTTAATTGTCATTGAATTCAATGTCACTATAGACTCTAGGGATATTTACAAAAAAAAGTTAATTGCTTTTGAAAAAAACATATTTAGCAATAATAAAATTATTGTTGTATTATTACCGCTAAAGATCGTTTTTGATATAGTGTTTCGATGTATATATTAAAAAAATCTAATTTATAATGTTAATTAAGACAATGAAATTGACTTCTAAGTAATATCTATGTATTTTATAATTACATTTATTTTTCCTCTAAGCAAATAACACAAGGAATCAAAAGGTTTGGAAGCATGCATTGTCATTGATTGAAATACAATGAAAAATGCCAGTTTCCAAATATTAGTACTCTAAAATTAGAAATTTCTATCTGTATAAATGGAGCAAAATTGATTCCATGAAACACCAATTATTATAGAGTTAGAATCTAAAAACTTCCAAAACTAAAAACTCTCTGCCAAAGTTTTTTACTCCATCTGTTTTAATTTATTTATCTGATTTTAATTTGATACGAAATATTCTAACATGTCACATGAAAAGTTTTATTTATCTGATTTTAATTTGACATGAAATATGCTAATATGTCACATGAAAAGTTGAAATTAAAGAGAAATAACAATACAGAAGAGAGTCGTGGTAAGTGCGTGGATCATGTTCAAATGGAAATTAATTTTGTCATCATAAATGAACATGAAGAAGTTGTGTTTGAAAATATCAAATAAATCCAAAAAATACCTACGGTATCTATTACACTTTAGATCAAGTCAAAAAATCAAACAAATTAGGCGTACGTACTTATAATACCTAAGATTAATCTTCAACATATTGATAAAAACAAAGTATTTACATTAGTAAAAATAATTTTTTACGAGCTCTAATTTCGTCCTATTTTCCTATAGTTACTAGATATATTTATTATACGCAGTTCCTCGATCGTATTTTTCCTTATACGAACGGAAGTAATTAATTTATTAGTATAAATAGTCGCTATATTGTAAATGGAGAGAATAATATTTTTTGGTCCTTGTAAATTTTGATTTTGATCTTTGTAATATCTTTGACTCTCGACCAACAACTTCTTAAGAATAGGGACATTAAAACTTGCCCAACCTAGTAAAGGGGTTTGGGGAAGTAATAATTAATAACATAATTTTAATATAATATATGAATAATTTACAGTGAAACAATTATTGATTTTAAAATTTAGTGAATATTCATTACCAAATTGATTGAAAACTGCACATTTCAAGTAATTGAAAGTTAATTTTTTTTTCAGGCAGATATCACAAGAATTAAAATTAAAATTTACCAACACTAAAGGACAAAAATGCTATTATTAAATTGTAGGAATATATTTATAAGGGAATAGGACCAAAAATATATTTCTAAACTATTCAAAAGAGAATATATTATCTTCCGTTACACTTTTTAGAATAAAAATACCAATATCATTAGTCAAATAATTAAAAAAATCACTTCCACAGCCTAAGTAAAATATCCTCTCCAGTAAAGGTTGAAAAAGATATCAAAAGTTTAATATTGTGAGTCATAATAATATGCAAGCCCTTAACGTTGCTTTAAATTAATACTCCCTTTATTTCAATTTAAATATTTTAATTTGACTGGACATAATTAAATTAAAAATATATGTAATCTATAGTCTTAAATTTGTCATACAAAATATTGAAATTTAAAACTTTATTGAATATAAAAATATTCACTTTTTAAAATAAAATAAAAGGAAAAATAGCAAAGCTTAAATTTGACACGGCGGATAGTTTAGTATCAAAAAGCTTCAACAATTTCTTTTATGTACCTCCATTTTTTTTCCCTCACCTGGTGTCTAGAGTTCATATTAGAGTCTTGATTAAATTTGAATCACGTACTATAGAGCCTATTTGAAAAGATGCATTCTCTACAAAATTTTCTCCTACCCCTGATTAACCCTGATTAAGGATGAAACAGTCATCACCGCACCACAACTCAGGTTAATTTACGTCCCTCCGTTTCATTTCATCTTTTACTATGCTCTTTTCATTTTATGTTATAATATCAGTTTCAGATTCATTATTCATCTTTTATGATCTTGAATGGGCATGAAAATTTATTTTTCAAAGAAATTTGTGATATATTTATATGACTATAAAACTTACCATTTAAAATAAAATTCAAATCCAAGTTAAATTATTTTTAAATTTATAAAAATGATATTTGCTTCGAAACAGATTAAACTAATGTTTGACCATAGACTTTGAATTAAATATTAAAAATCTATCTTCAATATATTTGTCAAGCCAAAGATTTTGAGTCAAATTTTAAAAATATGTCTTCAAAAAATTTCAAATTCCAATTACAAAACTTAAAAATAGCCTTGCAATTCAAGATTTCAATACCTTAAATCAACATTCCACAACTAATCAATAATATCTCCCAAAAGAACTTCACTTCATTATTTATCAAAAAAATCAAAACCTCAAAAAGGGGTTTTGCTTATTTCATTATATTATTTGCTTAAGATTCAAACTTTCTTCCCCTCTTAGTAAACTTAAAAATCAAATTAATTAATTCCTTTATGTTTTCACCTAATTGCCAAACTTTGTAAGGATGCTTAAAGTGAGAAGTTGGTCACTGCTTTACTTTTCTTTTCTTCCATGCCACCAAAACACAAGAAAAAAATGATACTATTCAACAAGGCAATTCATTGTAATCCAACAACTTAACCCCCCCACCCCACCCCACCCCCACCCCCACCCCCATGTTGTAATCTGATTCACTTTGGTAATGAAATTCACCTGACGTTTGACCATGAAATTTTTTCACTTATTTCTAGAGTTAAACTTTAGAAAAAAACGTTCGGTCATAAAATTTCGAAAGTTTCAGCAATTTTAAGAATTTAAAAAACAACAAAAAAGTATTTTTCACGTTTTCACTTCAAATTAGTCAGAAAAAGTCAAAAACGGCTCCAACTTCAATTCCCGAATATCATTTTTCACTTAAAAACAAAACAAAATCTTTTTTTTTTTTTGAATTTCAGAATAAAACATGAAAAATGCTCAATAATTTAATTACCAAACACGAAAAAAATAAAAAGGCAAATTCATTTTACACACGTATTTAAGTAAAGCATATAATACATCTTCAACAAATATTAAAAAGTAACATCAAAAGAGAGCCTTTTCTTTGTCTTTTTTCACACTCTTTGTCTGTTTAGATTATATAGTTCCAACTTTAATTTCTTCATTTTATTTTCTAAACCTCTCTCTTTCCATTGCTTAGCTATATTCTCTACCCCCAAATTAAATAATATTTAATAATTATTATTATTAAGAAAAAAAAATCTTCTTCTCTCCCTATATCTAGTATATAAATGGGAAACTAGAATGTTTTTTCTTGGATTCACTCATTTTACATAGAAGGCAACAACATGGGAGAAAAAACATGGGCTTTGTCCTTGTTTTTTATTTTTGCTTGTCTATCCCATGTTTATGGAAATGTTCATTCATATGATCATCAATTGAGGAAATTACAAGCTTTTACAGCTGAAATTGTTCATCGCGATTCGATTTCTCCTTTTCCTTCTCCTTCTCCTGCTAGATTTTCTCCATCACCATCATCACCATCAGTAGTAACCGTAAGTCTTTTTTTCCCCTAACCAATCGATTAATGTTAACGTATCGTAAATTAACTATATATGTATTATATATTAGGTTACACCAAGTCCAAAAATATATCATGTAACATCATATGGTGCTGATCCAACTGGAAAATTAGATAGCACACAAGCTATTCTACAAGCAATTTCTGATGCACTTGAAGGTCCATCTAATGGTTTCTTAATGCAAGGAATTTCAAATCTTGGTGGTGCTCAAATTAATCTTGAAGGTGGAAATTATTTAATTAGCCAACCATTACAATTCCCCGTTGTTAGCCGTGGCAATCTCATGGTACGTTCTGTTATAACATGTTAAATTATACTGACTGACGACATATAATAGAATAGTAGTGCCTTCCCTTCTAGACTAATTAACATATGTTACATGTTTGATTATATTTTTTCAATCTCTTTGACTTGACCTTTCTAAAATATAGAAAAATAAAATTAATTTTTTTTTCTCCACAATATGTGTAATCTTAAGACTTTTAACTTTACATTTTTCTATATTTCTAATTTTCACCTAGCTAGTTATTTTAATTACAACATTACCCCTACATTTTTGTTTTTATGAAACAGATTCATGGAGGAACACTAAAAGCTTCAGATGATTTTCCAACAGATGGATATTTACTCGATTTATCGACATCTTCAAGCAATGCTCCTGAGTTTTTATTCGAATTCATAACGTTAAGAGATTTATTACTTGATGCAAATTTCAGAGGAGGTGGTATACAAGTGATAAATTCACTAAGAACAAGTATTGACAATTGTTACATTACACATTTTACAACAAATGGTATTATAGCCAAAGGTGGACATGAAACATACATAAGAAATTCATTTCTTGGACAACATATTACTGCTGGTGGTGATAAAGCAGAGAGGAATTTCTCCGGTACCGCGATAAATTTAATGGGAAATGATAATTCTGTTACTGATGTAGTGATATTCTCCGCTGAAATTGGTATAATTGTATCAGGTCAAGCAAATTTGTTATCAGGTATACATTGTTACAATAAGGCTACTGGATTTGGTGGGACTGGAATTTACCTAAAACTCCCTGGTTTAACACAAACAAGAATTGTTGATTCTTATTTGGATTATACTGGAATTGTGGCAGAGGATCCTGTTCAACTCACAATTTCAAATACATTTTTTCTTGGAGATGCATTTGTTAAGTTGAAGTCAATAAATGGTGTTGTGAATGGAGTTAACATTGTGGATAATATGTTTTCTGGATCAAATAAAGGGATTGATATTATTCAATTGGATCAAAATAATGGACCATTTAAGACAATTGAACAAGTTGTGGTGGATAGAAATAATGTTAAGGGGATGAATCTTAAGGGTACTATTGGAAGTGGAGTTGTTGAAGGAAATGGTACTTCATGGACTTTGGATTTTAATCCAATTCTTATATTTCCTAACCTTATTAAACAGGTTCAATACACATTTTTCCCTAGTGGGAATGTGTTCGTTAATCATGCTTTGAGAAATGTGTCGAATAATAAGGTTCTGGTTGAATCAAACGTGCAAGTTCCAGCCAAGGTTTTTGTGATGGTGGATCAAGGGAAATGAGCTTATTTGAGCTACCATGTATAGGCTCAAGAAATTAATAAGCATAGGGATGTTATTTTATTGGTTTGATCTAGCTAGTTATGTTACAAAGATGATTAGATCTCTTTGAGTTTGAAACATTCTTGAAAAAGAAATGTTTATGTTAAGAAAAATTCAAAAGTATAATCCAGCAATACAAGAAATGCTTTTTGATGACAATTTTTTTTCTTTCCTACTAAAGTTCAAAAAAGTTAGGGATGAACAAAATCGAACCAAACTGCAAATCGTGTCAAATCGGAATAAAAATTGGTTGATGGTTTGTTTTGATTTTTGAAAAAAAAATCCAGACTATACTTAGGTTTCTTTTTAGGGAAAAAAGTCTGAAAAATACTCCAACTTTGGCCAAAATTGTTGTTACGATACCAAACTTTATGGAGGGCCTTTTACCCCTCTGCACTATTTAATAGTGTATTTAATTTTAAAGGTATATATAAGTCCACGTGGACACATTAATATTTATAATGATGCAATATTTATGATGTCCACGTGGGCACATATATACCTTTTAAATACACTATTAAATAGTGCAGGGGTAAAAGGTCATTTCCAAAGTTCGGTATCGTAACAACAATTTCAGTCAAAGTTCGGATATATTTTAGACCTTTTTCCCTTCTTTTTATAAATAAAATAAAATAAAATATTCTGGCTATACGGTTGATTTGGTTTTAACTAAAAGAAAGTCGATCCGAGACCAAACCAACCTAACATTATATATATCATTATCTTTTTTACTTTGATTTTTATACTTTACAAGTCCCTCAAGAATAATATACGTCTAGATCTAGAAGTTAACTAGTAGGTTGAATAAGTATGGGGTCTCATTCAAATTTCCAAATTATAATATAATTATATGACTAACTTTGAGGATTTGTCCATTTGTTGAAATATGTACTTGTGAGTTTTTCGTAGTTTTTTATCCAAATTTCGTACTGATTTGACTTGAAAGTTTTTCATAGTTTTAAAGCAATACTTAACTTCCTCTTCCAAATGGTCAAAAAGACATTCAGGGCGGTTTGGTGTGAGGTATAAGAGAAAATAGTCATAAGATAAAACTTTAGTGTCTCAGTGTGAAGGAAGGAATTATCATCACAGAGATATTAGAAACATGTTTTTTGAAATATTTATAAAAGGTTGTTCGGTACACAAAACAAAACATGTCATGTGTTAATAGGATTCGACAAAGGTTGCACTCAAGAGGTGATATGTAGACAATCTATGTACCAAAATGCAAATGGTTAGTGACTACTTTTATGTGTACGGTCGAACCATTGACCAATAAGTCACAAAGAAACAATTTTATTGTTGCTCCAAGGCTCCACTTCAGTTTCAATATATAGTAAAATCTAAGAACCGTGTCTTTTTACAATTTACTCAAGGTGATATTCTTCTAAAAGTTTGAAATGATGAGTATTTTACCACTACAACAACTTTTAGCTGAATGTAGTTGGCCATGAAATCATCATATATCCATGTTGTTGTAGTAGTTGGTGAGGGTAACCAACAAATAGATCAAATTTTCTACATAACTTTCATTTAATTTTTTTCAATTATTACTTTCTTAATTGTTCAACAAATAAAATAAAATAAAGTGAAAGTAGCTAGGTTGCTCAGATAAGGGGGAAATAACAACCTTGCCAATCATATTTATATTCACCTAATATAGGGACTGAATTCCTTCAAAATTGTTGAAATTGATTGTGCAAAATATGATACGTGGACGTTGAAGGAAAAATAAAACTCAAACTTTAAAGGTACGTACTTTTAATAACCAAAGGAATATATTTCTTTTTTGTTCCAAAGTATGTTTACATATATAAATTAACTATATATTATAACCTTTTTGATTTATTATAGTACTTATGAGAAAAGATGGAAGATAGTCAAAAGTAGTAGATTCCGTTCATGAGATCGATATTGAAGGTGTCTTTTTGCAAGAAAGATATTAAAGATCATATACGTGTGTCTATATTTCAAGAAGTATAAACAGATGCATGAGTAAAAAATACTGAATTTTTAGTAATTCGCGAAGTGTATATTTCAAGAAGTATAAACGTATAGATGCATGAGTAAAAAATACTGATTTTTTGGAGAATTCTTAGTAATTCACGAAAATTTTAATCCGTTGATTGCATAACAGAGTCTCATCATTATTATTTGTATGTCACTTATTGGATGGAGTGGGGAGCGGGGGTTCGGGGTGGCAATTGGCAAAGGTGAGATTGTCAAAGGTGAGGTTAGGAGCGTTGAGTAGGTGGGGGAGAATATCAACGATGAAGCCAGGATCATCACTAAGAGGGTTCAAATTTTGAAAAAATAGATACACAAACTAACTGAAGGAGTTTGACATCTATTATATATACATGAAAACTTTTTTAGCCATGTATATGTAGAATAATTTTCCAATTGAGGGGAGATAATAAAACTTAAAATATCATCTATGAAACTTATTTTTCTTATAACGGATGCAGAGTTAAGTGGGCCAAAAAATAAAATTCGAATTAACTAGCCTAAACAAAAAAAGTTAACTGGGCCACAAAAATAAAATTCAAATTAACCAAGCCCAAAAATAAATTCCGTTGCCGGGACTTGAACCCGGGTCTCTCGGGTGAGAGCCGAGTATCCTGACCAACTAGACTACAACGGATTGTTGATATATAATTCGTAGAAATATTTATAACTCTTTTCACGTTTATGTATCTGTTCTAATACGCTACATGTCATATAATTTTAGTAAAATTAATATATTTATGTTCGTTAATGATGATGGAAATGATTTATCATGATTGTGATTAAGAACTCACCACCTTCACAACACATTTTATCAAATATTTATATTTAAAATTCAAATTCGAGGCATCGATTATGAAAGTATTTTGATTACATTATTCAAGTAAGAAGGAATTCTACTTTGCCAATCCATCCCAATTCCCACAAGGAGAAGTCAAAACATATATAAATGCTTCATCTAATCCAACCAATTACTTTGCTATATAACAGTTGTATTCTCTTTCCAATGCTAATAAATGCTACAACAATTTTCAAGTCAGTATAAAACATTTATTATGGGATTATACGTATTTCTTACGTTTACTTTTATCTATCTACCTATATTTAAAATTAATATTTATTATTTTTAATACATTAAGAGAGTTTTTTAATTCTTTTATCTTTAATATTAATTATATATATTTCCACTTTCTTTTATTACTTTTTGTCATAGCAAGAAAAAATATATTTTATTTATTTATTTATTTTTAATATTAATTATTTTATATATTTTACTTTTACTTGTCATTTTTAATACATTAATATAAAAATATTTTTTTTATCATGTTTACATTTAATATTAATTACTTTTTCTAAATTATTTCTTAAAATTAAAAATTATATATTAATTAATATGAATATTATGTTAAAATATAATAATATGTTATTTATTCATTTATTATAAATTACTACCAATTGCATTATAAATCATCTGCATATGTATATATGTATGATAACTGTTCATATAATTTAAGGGGCGGAGCTTGTATGTGACTTTGATAGTCAAATATATGAAATTCATAAATTAAAATTTTACTTTTATTCATAAGTAACACTTAAAATTTACCATCAAAGGATGTAGTGTAGTAAATAAAACTGTTCCTTTCTTAATTAGCGGTCTCGAGTTTGAACCTTGAGTATGAAAAAATCTTTGATAAGGATCAATACCCCCGAATGAAATGCATAGATTAGTCTAGGAGCAATTCTCCTTGAATGGCACGTGATATAACATGAATTTAAATTAGTCAAACTACAATTAAGATATGAATACGAAATGGAAAAAATAAAAAGAAACCACTTATAGTCCTACTAGGCCTGGCAGGGGGATCAGGTCGGCCCGCCCCGCGACCGGTTCGAGAACCGGGTCGCCGGACCCGATCCTGTATATTTTCGCGGGTTGGGAGGGGTTCGGGATAGGGGACCGGTTAGGGGCCGGTTCACCCTTTGGGCCCCGTCGACCTGGCCCAGCTGAACCGGCCGGTTCGAGGGATCCCCTAATTTATTTATTTATTTATTTTATTTTTTTGAATTATATCCGTTGGGGCAACGGCTAGTGGGCCCCCCAACGGATTTATTCACTTTTTTTCCCTTCCCCAACACCCCCTACCACCCCTACTTTTAATACTTTAATTTAAACCCTCAAGTTATCATAAATACACTTTAACCCACTTTTAATATTATAAATACCCCTCTATCCCTTATTATTTCTTACAAAATCATCTATTCTCTCATCTATTTTTTATATCCTCTCAATCTTAAGTCTCAATTTTTTATTTCATTTAAGTCTCATATTATATCATAATACATATATTTCAATTCTTAATTTTCATATTATATCATAATATATATATATATATATATATATATATATATATATATATAAAATTCTCATATTTGCTATCAAGTATTGGACATTGGAGTTCCAAATTACAAGTTACAACAAACTACAAGCTTCAAGAATCGGTTATAACGTTTGCTATTAACGCAGACGTTTGGTACATTCATTTCATAATATTTATATTTTATTTTTCGTCATTAATTTTTGTGTTATTATTATTTTTTATTACACTTTACATATAATTAAATATGAGTTCTAACAAAAAAGATACCGGTAAAGGAAAAGAGAAAGAACCAAGTGGCATTAATAATTATTTAATTTTAATAAAAAAAGTAGTAAGGAAAAAATAAGAGTAAATGTGGTGGTACTTCTTCTAAATCAATGTCTAGAGTTAGATTTAATACAAATGATTCTACTTATGTTGATGATACTTCTTATGATATTGATTCAAATGCTCAACTCGATCATGAACTTTTACAACAAATTTATGGTGATTTTAATCCTTATCTTGATGAAAATTCAGGTGAAGAAGTAGAAGTTGGTTTGGGAGAAGATGAATTAGAAGATACACCTACTA